TGGTTCCTCAAAGCCCCATCCAACCTGGCTTTGAACACTTCCAGGGATGAGGCATCCAAAACTTCTCTGGATAACCTCTTCCAGGGCTTCACCACTCTCAGAATGAAAAATTTCTTCTTTACATCTAGTCGAAATCTACCCTCTTTGAGTTTAAATCCATTGCCTTTTCTTCTGTTGCTACATGCCCTTGTAAAAATTCCCTCTCCAGCTTTCTTGTAGGCTCCCTTTAAGTACTGGAAGACTGCAATAAGATCACCCCGGAGACTTCTCTTGTCCAGGCTGAACAACCCCAACACTATCAGCCTGTCTTCAGAGGAGAAGTGTTCCAGCTCTTGGATCACTTTTGTGGCTCTCCTCTGGACTTGCTCCAACAAGTCCACATCCTTCTTGTATTGAGAGTTCCAGAGCTGTATGAAGTACTCCAGGTGAGGTCCCAAAAGAGTGGACTAGAGGGGCAGAATCACCTCCCTCGACCTGCTGGTCACGCTGCTTTGGATGCAGCCCAGAATATGGTTGGATTTCTGGGCTTCCAGCACACATTGCTTGCTCATGTTGAGCTTTTCGTCAACCAACACTCTCAAGTCCTTCTCCTCAGGGCTGCTCTCAATCCATTCTCCACCCAGCCTGTACTTGTCCTTGGGTTTGCCCTGACCCATGTGCAGGATCTCACACTTGACCTTGTTGAACATCATGATGTTTGCTTGGGCCCACCTCTCCAACCTGTCCTTCTGTATGGCATCCCTTCCCTCCAATGCGCTGACCACACCGCACAGTTTGGTGTCGTCAGAAAACTTGTTGAGAGTGCACTCAATCCCACTGTCCATGTCACTGACAAAGATGTTAAGCTCAATACTGACCCCTGAGGAACACCACTCATAACTGATCTCCACTTGGACATTGAGCCGTTGACTGCAACTTTTTTGAGTGCAATCATCCAGCCAATTCCTTATCCACTAAGTGGTCCATCCATCAAATCCATGTCTGTCCAATTTAGAGACAAGGATTTTGTGTGGGACAGTTTCAAATGCTTTGAACAAGTCCAGGTAGATGACATCAGTTGCTCTTCTATTCCTCCAACACTGTAACCCCATCGTAGAAGGCCACCAAATTTGTCAAGCACAATTTGTCTTTAGTGCAGTCGTGTTGGCTATCGCTAATAACCTCCTTATTTTCTATGTGCCTCAGCATAGTTTCAATGAGGATTTGCTCCATGATCTTGTCAGACACAGAGGTGAGACTGACTGACCTGTAGCTTCCTGGGTCTTCCTTTTTTCACTTTTTGGAAATAGGGTGTTATGTTTCCCCTTTTACAATCAGTGATAAGTTCACTAGACTGCTATGACTTCTCCAATATGATGGAGAGTTAGGGTTTAGTAAGTTCATCTGCCAGTTCCCTCAGGACCTCTGGATGTGTCTCATCAGGTCCCATGGACTTATGCACCTTCAGGTTCCTTAGATGGTCTCAAACCTGATCTCCTACAGTGGCTGGTTCTTCATTCTCCCAGTCCATGCCTTTGCCTTTGCCTTTTATGACTTGGGCAGTGTGGCTACAGCACTTGCCAGTGAAGACAGAGGCAAAAAAGTCATTGAGTACTTCAGCCTTCTCCATTTCCTGGGTAGCTAGGTCTCCAGTTTCCTTCTGGAGAGAGTCCACATCTTTTACCCACTCCCTAGTCCTCCTTTTACCACTGACATACCTATAGAAGCTTTTCTTGTTGCCCTTGATGTTCCTGGCCAGATTTAATTCCATCAGGGCTTTACCTTTCCTAACCTGACCCCTGGTTGCTCAAACAATTTCTCTGTATTCTTCCCAGGCTACCTTCGACCCTCTGTAGGCCTCCTTTCTGTGTTTGAGTTTGTCCAGGAGCTCCTTATTCATCCATACAGGCCTCCTGGTGTTCCTGCCTGACTTTCTCTTTGTTTGGGTGCACCGCTCCTGAGCTTGGAGGAGGTGATCTTTGAATATTAAACAGCTCTCTTGGGCCTCTCTTCCCTCCAGAGTTTTATCCCATGGGTCTCTACCAAGTAGATTCCTGAGGAGGCCGAGGTCTGCTCTCCTGAAATCCAGAGTAGTGAGCTTGCTGAGCACCCTCCTTACTACCCTAAAGTTCTTGAGCTCCTCCATTTCATGGTCACTACACCCAAGGCTGCCCTTGATCTTCACATTCCCCACCAGCCCCTTCTTGTTGGTGAGAGCAAGGGCCAGCATAGCACGTCTCCTCATTGGTTCCTCTTTCACTTGGAGAAGGAAGTTATTGTCAATGTCTTCCAGGAACCTCCTGGATTGCTTATGCTCTGCTCTGTTGCCCCTCCAACAGATATCGGGGTGGTTGAAGTCCCCCATGAGGACCAGGGCTCGTGAATGTGAGGCTGCTCCTATCTGTCTACAGAGGGCCACATCCACTCAGTCTTCCTGGTCAGATGGCCTCTAGCAGACACCCGCTATAATGTCATCTGTCCCTGCCCTCCCTTTAATCCAGACCCATAAACTCTCGGTCAGCTCCTTATCCATCCACAGGCAGAGCTCCATGCACTCCAGCTGGTCTTTGACATAGAAGGAGACATCTCCTTCTTGTCTCCCCTGCCTGTCCCTCCTAAAGAGCCTGTCTCTTTTCATTCTGACAGGAACATATCACAGAAACAGGCTTTCAATGAACAAGAGTTAAAAAAAAAATTATAATATAAATTTTATTTTGAAACTATCAAAATCAAACAATTTTGGCTGAGGAAATATCTTTCAACAAGGTTCAAACATTTATTTCAAAAGAAACTAATGTCATTCCATTTATATAGCCAAACATTGCTGGTAAAACACTCATTTAAATACACATCACACTCTCTTGTGTTTTATTACATTAATATTGACTTGAAGCTGTTCTGCTTTGTGGAGAAGTTGCTTTGTACATGCACCACCTTTTTTTTTTCTTTCCTCTCCCTGGGGAATTCTGATTTTGGTTTTGATGGTTTTTTTCAATCTGATCCAGAATGAACAAATACTAACAATCTGAACTTCCTTTAGAATGGATTTTCTGTTTTTCAGTTATTCAATTCTATATACATTTTTAAAATTCCTTGTGTTAAAAGACTGCAACAGGAAATGAGAAGGTCTGTTTCAAATTATGGAAACTTATGCCTGAATTTTACAGTAATTTGGGAACAAACACATCTGTCTGATGATTATTTTAACCTTTGATTTTATTTAGATTTTATTATAATGAATACTTTCTGTATCTGCATGATTGGAATATCATAAGATAAAGATTTTAATGTTTATCTGGAAGATCTTTATGCCAGCGAATGCAAACTATTGTATAAAGAGACAAAAGCTTTTAGTGTTCCCTAAATGACTGTAAGGTAAACAGGTAAACGAGTTTCTTAAAAAAAACCTGTTGTATGAATAACTTCATTTGAAAGGCATACATGCTATTTTATTTGAAGAGAGAGAAAAGGTAAATTAAGGTTGAAATTTATTTGCCAGAACATTGTTGATCTCAGCTTCAGTGCATATACTACGTAACAGGATTTCTTTTAATCAAATATAAATGCTCTCAAGCTGCTCCGCTCACATCGTTGTTGTTTATACTGGAAAGACAACCAGAAAGATGCAACTATGCCAGCTCCTAATACACAGAATCAAAGTCTAGGTTGGAAAAGAACCTTCAGATAGTCAAGTCCAACTATTAACTTAGCACTGCCAAGTCCACCACTAAACCATGCCCCTAAGCACCACATCACCACATCTACCTGTCTTACAAATATCTTACAAATACCTTCAGGGATGGTGACTCAACTCCTTCCCTGGGCAGTCTGTTCCAATGCCTAACAACCCTTTCCGTGAAGAAATTTTTTATAATATCCAGTCTAAATCTCCCCTGGTGAAACTTGAAGTGATTTCCTTTTGTTGTATCACTTGTTACTTGGGATAAGAGACTGCTACACACCTCGCTACAACCTTCTTTCAAGTCTCCCCTCAGCCGCCTTTTCTCCAGGCTAAACAGCCCCAGTTCCCTCAGCCACTCCTGATGAGGCTTGTGGTTTAGACCCTCCCATTGGACACGCTCCCATGCTTCAATGTCCTCCTTGTAGTGAGGGGCCCAACACTGAACTCAGTATTTGAGGTGCAGCCTCACCAGTGCCGAGTACAGGGAGATGGTCACTTCCCTAGTCCTGCTGCCCACAATATTTCTGATACAAGCCAGGATGCTACTGGCCTTCTTGGCTACCTGGGCACACTGCCAGCTCATGTTCAGCTGACTGTCAGCCATGCTTCAATGTCCTCCTTGTAGTGAGGGGCCCAACACTGAACTCAGTATTTGAGGTGCAGCCTCACCAGTGCCGAGTACAGGGAGATGGTCACTTCCCTAGTCCTGCTGCCCACAATATTTCTGATACAAGCCAGGATGCTACTGGCCTTCTTGGCTACCTGGGCACACTGCCAGCTCATGTTCAGCTGACTGTCAGCCGATTCCCCCAGGTCTTTTTTAGCCAGGCAGTTTTCCAGTCGCTCTTCCCCAAGCCTGCAGCATGGGGTTGTTGTGACCCAAGTGCAGGACCTGGTGCTTAGCCTTGTTGAACCTCATACGGTTGGCCTCAGACCATCCACCCAGCCTGATCAGATCCCTTTGTAGAGCCTTTCTACTCTCAAGCAGATCAATACTCCTGCCCAACTTGGTGTTGTCTGCAAACTTACTGAGGATGCACTTGATCCCTTCATCCAGATCATTGACAAAGACTTTAAACAGAACTGGCCCCAACAGTGAGCCCAGTGAGCCCTGGGGAACACCACTTGTGACTGGCCACCAACTGGATTTAACTCCATTCGCCACCACTCTTTGGGCCTGACCATCCAGCGAGATTTTTACTCAGCAAACAGTATATCTGTCCAAGCCATGAGCTGCCAATTTCTCCAGGAGAATGCTGTGGGAAAGCGTGTCAAAGGCTTTACTGAAGTCTAGGTAGACAACATTCACAGCCTTTCCCTTATCCACTAAGTGTGTCACCTTGTCACAGAAGAAGATGAGGTTAGTCAAGCAGGACTTGCCTTTCCTAAACCCATGCTGATTGGGCCTGATCACCTGGTCGTCCTGTATGTGTTGCGTGATGGCACTCAAGATGATCTGCTCCATAACTTTCCCTGGCCCTGAGATCAGACTGACAGGCCTGTAGTTCCCTGGATCCTTCTTCTGGCCTTTCTTGAAAATGGAAATCACGTTTGCTAACTTCCAGTCAACCACGACCTCCCCGGTTAGCCAGGACTGCTGATAAATGATGGTAAGTGTCTTGGTGAGCACTTCCACTAGCTCCCTTAGTACCCTTGGGTGGATCGCATCCAGCCCCATTGATTTGTGCATGTCTAAGTGGTGTATCAGGTCGCTAACCATTTCCCCTTGGGTTACGGGGGCTTCATTCTGCTCCCCATCCATGTCTTCCAGCTCAGGGGGCTGAGTACCCAAAGAACAACTGGTCTTCCTATGAAAGACTGAGACAAAGAAGGAATTAAGTACCTCAGCCTTTTCCTCATCCTTTGGCACTATGTTTCCCCTCACATCCAGTAAAGGATGGAGATTCTCCTTAGCCCTCCTTTTGTTGCTAATGTGTTTATAGAAACATTTTTTTATTGTCTTTTATGGTAGTAGCCAGATTAAGTTCCAGTTGGGCTTTGGCGCTTCTAGTTTTCTCCCTGCATAACCTCACAACATCCTTGTAGTCTTCCTAAGTTGCCTGCCTCTTCTTTCAAAGGTCATAAACTCTCCTTTTTTTCCCCGAATTCCAGCCAAAGCTTTCTGTTCAGCCAGGCTGGTCTTCTTCTTCCCCTCCAGCTTGTCTTTCGGCACATGGGGATAGCCTGCTCCTGTGCCTTTAAAAGTTCCTTCTTGAAGTATGTCCAGCCTTGCTGGACTCCTTTGCCCTTCAGGACTGCCTCCCAAGGGATTCTGCCAACCAGGTTCCTAAACAGGCCAAAGTCTGCCCTCCAGAATTCCAAGGCAGCAGTTCTGCTGGCCCCTTCTCCTTATTTCTCCAAGAATCAAAACCTCTATCATTTCATGATCTCTGTGCCCAAGACAGGCTCCAACCATCACATCACCAAGTCCTTCTCTGTTCACAAACAACAGGTCCAGTGGAGCCCCTTCCATAGTTGAGTCACTCACCAGCTGTGTCAAGAAGTTCTCTTCCACACATTCCAGGGATCTCCTAGACCTTTTTGTCTCTGCTTGTATTGTATTTCCAGCAGACACCTGGTAAGTTGAAGTCCTCCATGAGAATAAGATCTAGCAATCGTAAGACTTCTCCCAGCTGCTTATAGAATATTTTTGCTGCCTTATCATCCTGGTTGGGTGGTCTATAACAGACTCCCACCATGATATCTGCCTCGTTGACATTTCACTTGATTCTTACCCATAAACACACAACCTTATAGTCACTATCATTAAGCTCCAGACAAATAAAATGATCCCTAACATACCGTAGCCTAATGCCTCTCCTTCCTTGTCTATCCCTTCTGAAGAGTTTATAGCCATCCATTGCAGCACTTCCGTTGTGCAAGTCATCTCACCATGTTTCTGTGATGACAACTATATCATAGTTTTCCTGCTGCACAATAGCTACCAGCTTCTCCTATTCGTTGCCCATGCTGCATGCATTGGTGTAGATGTACTTCTGATCCTGCCACCTTTTTAGGGGAAGAAGCATCATCATTCTCAGGCACTTCCGTGGTTTCTAACACACCAATAACCCTTGTGTCTTTGCTGCTGTGTGGAACTCCATCCCCTACCTCCACTGAGATGGCAGACTGAAGGTTGTTGCTAACACACCATCCCTCAAACTTTGGCATGCTGCCCCAGGCTTATCTCTAGTGATCCTGGTTTTATCCCTTTCCCCCTTCAAATCAAGTTTAAAGGTTGTTCAATGAGCCCTGCTAACTCCTGTGCAAAGATCCTTTTCCGTCTTTGAGAGAAGTGTACCCCATCTGTCGTCAACAGGCCTGGTGTTATGTAGAATGACCTGTGATCAAGAAACCCAAAATTCCGCTGGCGACACCAGGCTCAGAGCTAGGTATTGATCTTCTGGCTCTTTCTGTTTCTTCCCTCTTCATTCCCTGCAACTGCAAAGACAGAAGAGAACACTATTTGTGCTCCTGATCACTTAACTGATCATCCCAAGGCCCTGAAGTCTCTCTTGTGTGCCTTTGGACTTCTTGTTACAACTTCATCTCTGCCTACCTGAAAAATCAGTAATGGATAATAATCTGAGGGCTGTATTGGCGTAGGAAGTTTTCTCTTCACATCTTTAACCTGAGCCCCAGGGAGGCAGCAGACTTCCTCAAGATGTGATTTTGGTTTGAATATTGGGCTTTCTGTTCTCTTCAGAAGGAAGTCTCCTATGAAAATGACTCATCTTTTTTTCTTTATGGAAGCAGATTTGATGCAGAGCATCAGCCGACTTAACCTCAGTGACACCTCCAAGATGGATGAACCATTGTCCTCATTATTGTTTGGTTCCACTTGCACACCCTTTTACCTATTATGCAAGGGCACCTGGGAAGGTGGGGTAGTCCCAGTGGAGACATGCTTCCTGTGCCAGGCAAGAACTTGTTGTCATTGCCACCTAACCCTTATGTCACTGCATTCAGCCAGGCGGAGAGAGGATAGGGAATCCTCCGTATCATGCATCCTGCCTGCCTGTTGGGCCTGTCCCAGAGAAGGTAGGGTGTGATTCCGGTAGTCTGTCTCTCTCTCGCACTCCTTGATACTCCTCAACCTACTGACCTCCTCCCAGAGCTCTAAGTGGAGGAGTTCCTCTACCTGGGCTCACCTCCCGCAGAGGTATGCTCAGTACTGTTGTAGGTACTGGTGTAAGAGCAGGGCACAGCCCTCAGCCTGACACCTGGCTGACAGCATGTTCCCACCGGAGCTCTGTCTGGGAAGCTGCGTCAGCCGTGGTGAGTGCAGAGCCTAGAGAGGCCATGGCTTTCTGCCAGCTGGGTGCCATTTCTCCTCGGTTGGGCTGGCAGAGCTTCAGCGCCCTTCCTGCATGCCCTGCTGTGCACACTGCCATGCCATGCCCTTGCTGACACACCAGTTTGCGGTGCTCCTGGTCATTAGTGCTCCCTAAGGGCTTCTTTTATACATGGAGGAGGCTTGGCTGCTGTTTCTCCTGGCCCTGCCCAGGTCCTGTCAGCCGCTGTTGCAAGAGCTGCAGGCTCCTGACAGCTCCCTCGGCTACCTCTGAGTTTCCTTCAGTTTGGGGAGTTCCGCTCTGCACCCCGCTAGAGCGCTCCACTGCGAATCGTGTCGGCACCGGAGCTGCTTGCCTCAGCGACTGAGTGCTAGTTTGGGTTGCACCGGGTTTCAATCTCCTGCTTAAATACAGTACTTTGATTATGGAGAAATTGCAGCAGAGGAGATGATATCGGTGTCTCACTGTCACTTCGGTAATCTTTAAGAGAAATTAGGCACGGATATAGAAGAGATCTATAATGTTCCTATCTATCAAAATAAATTAATCTTCTGCAAGAACCAGATGTTCTGCAAAAAACAGATCCACTAGCCCTATCTTTCTGGTGATTAGCCAACCAATCAACTGGAGTCATCATAATGATTAACTTCATTGTTGTTTTATAATACCCTAAAATCTGAACTCATCATCTGTGTTAGAATTCAGTCTTAAATCTTACTTAATATCACAAAGAAACTTTCTTTTGAAGATCATAAACATCTCTTTGTGTGAGATTAAAGGAAACTGAAAATTAAATAACTCATTATAAAAATAAGTACTTTGGTAAAAAGGAGACACTAGCCTTTGATTTTGTGAGCTTTGTAGTATTCCATCTAATCAGATACTATATTAAAATGTTTAGATTATTAAAGTAAAACAAATGTATAGTCCTTAAAAGTGTCTCTCAGCTTCTGTGGAAGATCTTAGGACCACTGACTTCGAGTCAGTTCACGATGGGCAGGGTGTTGTTTTGAAGTTTTACAGTCTATTCTGAAAATACATCCAAACTCATGAACCAGGTGACCTATCAAGGCTGAAAAGTCTTTGTGTTCAACTCTGCTCTCCGTCACTTTTAAAGTGGTGGTAGTTTATATAAATCAACTCAATATGACATTATTCAGAAGATTGATACTGCTGACTACCAGCATATGCAGAAGGCCAGGACAGTCTCTCTTTTTATATCCCCTGCTTCCTCAAATTAAGGATCTGATTTTTTCTGCCTACAAAGCTCCAATGTTGTTCAGAAGAGACAATGCCTTATGGCCCAGAGGGCCTCCAACCAACTCGCAACAGCTACTGCAGATTCCTGGCAGATGAGGGGACTTATCATAGGCTGATATAAACATATTTAGAGAAATACTTTTCAATGCCTTGAATTTTTCTTTCCATTTGAAATTATGAACTCTTTAAATACAAGATTTATTCAACTTTGATGCTGAAATTCATCTTGATCATGTAGACTGAAATATTGTCTGTCTAAATCCAAACAAGCATCCGAAAACTCAGTAAATAAAAAGACAAAGGCTAAAGACAAGGAGCCAACGCATCCTGAAGAACTAAGAAAATCAAGGCACCAGAAATAAGACAAGTATTTTAGAACTTAAATTCTGTTCAAAAAGCAAAAAACCCCAGAACTCATAACAATGGAAGGAGCCAGTCATAGTGTAGACTCTATTAAAAATGGTCATTTGTATCACCAATGCAAGTTTCTTTTAATCGTGGTCATTTGAAATTGATTAGAAGAACATTGTGCTGTAAACTAGAGACAAAGCCTATTGGCCTTACTCTTTTCTGTAGACATTTCTGAATGCAGGAACGGGGCAGATTGCACTATTCTACATTGCTACACTCGATATGCCCTCAATTTGTGCTACTTCTCCCCCTTACATTTAACATATAGATTGATGTGAAGACCTCAGAGTTGTGTGCTGTTGTTATGACACTGAAGTGAGACATCCAGACATTCAAAGAGGGTAAGTACTTGAAGTTAAATTCAGCTCCCAAGGAAAGAAGACAGGTCCTCCCTTCTCACAGTTTCTTTCTCACACAGCTCTGATACGAGGCCACAGAGTTGCATAAAAAGTGAGCTGGAGCCCAGGTAGCCAAACCTTGCCTGGGTGTGGATATATATCAGAGGATTTATATGGGGATGTATGTGACATTGCAGTCAAAGCCATGACATTAGCTTGTGATTGTGCATTCAATCAATCACATTTTGTGGGAGACCGCAAGAAGCTCTCCTAGAAGTTCAGCAATAAGCTCAACAATAAGCTAATCCAAGAGCAGATGTCCCATGTGAGGAGTTTCCTCAGTCTGAAGTGACTCTCTAAGGTACTACACATTTACCACAGCAAAATGAAGTTTGTTATCACAGGTCATTTCAGAGCCACAGGACAACATCTTGCACATACCATTTGCTGTTTCACCT